TTTCGGTAATTAGTAGATTGATTTCCTTTCTATTCAGAATCTTCGTGTGTAGGGCCTTTGATTAGCTTCAGTGAATTGATAACTAATGCCATTCATTTTACTAATGGAGGAATGTTTAACTGAGATGATGTATCTAGGTTGCTTTTCTTTTCTTTTTTATATTTGATGATATCGAGCATTCTTAAAAATTTGAGAAAATATTTATAGGTGATTTTTACTTCACCCTCCTGCTATTGAATGCACGCACTGTGGGTATTTTATTGAAATTTCTTGTGGAAGTCGAAGGTCAATTTAATATGCAAAAAAAACTTTTCCATTTTTATCACCTTTTCTCTATGTGTTTTTAAACCTTGTCTTTTTTTAAAAGAAAACAAGATTCACGAACAGGGGATAATCGTATTTCTTGTGCACCGCTTGTGTCTTTCGAGTCGACTGCAGTAATTTCCTTTCCAATAATAAAAATGCCTGACATCATTTTTTTTTCTTATAAAGTATATGCTGCTAATTGAAAATGAAGTTAACGACCCACCTCATGATTTTACTCTATGGTTATAATGCGTCATATAGATGATGAAGAAAAAATCTTTGACTACACAAAGATTCATATAACATCTATAGCTTTCCGAGGTCGAGTTTCTTTCTTAAAAGACCGATCGAAATGATTATTTTTCTGTCATTTTATTTCACCAGCTGCACATAAAATGTTTAAAGGAAGTTTAATTCTTCTGCAAATTAAAAGACACTTTCATTCATACAAAACTTTATTTTACTTATATCTTTTTTCCAATACGTGTTATTTCGTTGCTATTTCCCTACCATTTATATGTTTTTGCTTATCAATTTTTGTTTAAATAGGTGTATAACGCATTGCTCCTAAAGAGAGAACAGATTAAGAAATTTTTTGTCTGAATTCTACAACGAAATGGTATACATCTTCCTTTATTTACACATGTTAACCAACAAAAGGGAAAAAATGTATTGTTCAAAGATACTGATATGCTAAGATTCATTACCGGGGCTGATATTAATTTTGACTAAAATGAAACTGCGTTTGCACCAAATTTATGTAAATTTGATGCATCTCGCTTTTTTATATTAATTGTATTTCTTTATTTTCTTTTTTTTTCTCATTTCCTTCTGAACCGTGCATTATGTATACCGGACTATCCATTGTGCTATTTTATCTTCAAGGTGAAATCTTTATTCTCGGCAACACTGTACCAGAAATCAGCTATCGTTTGTCTTATCTGCAACAAATATTGAAACATGCTATATGCATGAATCATTCCTTTTGTTAAGGGGTCAGAAACGCTTCCCATGTGGTGTTTTTTTAATGAATTTCACCATGGGGAATGTTGAAAGTTACTTTGCCTTCTAGTCTACCACAGTGTGTGTAATGGAGCTATTTTACGCATGATCCGATCCTTTCAATCCCTCTGCGGCTGAAGGCTCATGACTCTTGCCTTCGCAAGCCGCACGAATGAAGGCAGTGATGGAGGGGCACACCAGATATGTAGGTAGTCATCACGGTGTTAGGATCGACGCCTCCAACAGAGCTTTTGTGTACATCGACTTTTCTTCAGCACCAAAAGAGGAATTGGCGTATAGCGAGATTTATCAGTGGGGGAAAGTAGATTTTCAGAGCACCATCGATAACTTCATTATTCACTCTCGACTTGCGTACGATAGTTTTTTTTTTGCATTTTTGAGATGTTTAGGTTCCAGCGGTGTGCTTGTTGTAATCGGAAAAAAAATTTGATAAGGGTAAGGTTATAGAATCTGTTTTCGCTATTTTTCAGGACTTTACCGTCTACTCTGAATGCGAAAAAGTGTTTTGAGGCTTTCATGGGGAGGAAGCTATGAACTACAAAACCTTACGCACTCCCTAAATGCGGCAATCTCTCTGTATTCGCGCAGGTGTACCGATGCTGTGTAGGAGGAATCCCGAAGCAACTATTAAAAGGATTTACTATTTACCAAGTAGCGTTGAATCCAACATATCTTCTTTCCTTGAAAAGCGGTATTTAATTATCCTAATTGATATTTTTAATGTCCATGTGGATTTGGTTGTTGAGTAGCATATTACGTCGATTGTGGGGAGGACTTCCTCAGATAGTAGCTAAATACAATGAGTAATAAATTAAGCCATATCATCTTACATTCCCTTGAGTTACGGACTGAAAGAGGAAACCATGATAATAGGCCATTTCTTTTGGTGTATATTATTCTCATGGACAGCTTAAAGTAGTTCAGCTCACCGATAATATTTCCTTACCTGACACTGAGTTTCTTTTGCTTCCTTTTATCTTCCCTTTAATGTTTTCCTATTTTTTTTTAAGCATTCGATTGGAGTGTTCAGACGCTTCTTATTTCTATAGCAACACGTTTTTAGTAAGACAATGAGTAATATAAAAAGAGTTAGTCTTCCCATTGAGGTTTTGCATAATTGCCGGGGGAAGCCAGTCTCTATTGAACTTTTCACTGGGGAAACCTTTAATGGTACGGTTATGCGCACCGATAGAACAATGAATGTTGTTCTCAAACAATGCATTAGAACTTCAGCAAACGGTGATGCTTTTTGGCGATCTCGCGAGTGTTTGGTTAGGGGTGCTAGTATTCGTAATATACGCATGGATGACAGTGTGCTGCGGGTGTCGGCATCCATTCCCCATAAAAAAGAAGCAGCGAGAAAAAGGCCGCGTACAACCCCTCAAGCCGGCTCAGCTCCAACAAAAATCGAAAGAAAAGCGCATCAAGGTCGTACCAAATAACTTGTCTATAGGAGTCTCTCTCTTCACTGTTTATACCTTTATTTGCGATGGATGAAAGTTATATTTTTTACCAAACATAAATAATACGGGTCTGAAAAATTCGTGCCTTTGTATGCAGGATGCAGCTGTGCTTTTGCATTCAAACTGATGTGAAGTATATTAGTAGTATGACCTTAGATGAAACATTACCAATGATTCCAGTAATTTTCTGCATGGACCAGTCATCTAGTATATATATATATATATAATTGGAATTTTTCGACATACTTTGGAACAATTAACCCATATTATTTACTCACAATAACTCTAACAACTCATTTGTATTTCGTTTTTTATGTGTTTAACAGGGAGAGGGCAGAAAGTTGTATTGAATGATTCAACAAGAACCTATGTTTGTGTTTTCTTTTCCAAGAGGGGAAAATATACTTTTACAATATCCTTTCTTAACACTTGTATTTGGTATCCATACAATGCGTTCATTTATCTTTATGTTTTTTGTGTAAGTGCAGGCCTACAAAGCCAAACTATTGATACTCTCCTCAATACATATCCCTAATTAAGGGTATTAAGGACGAATAAGGTCTTTTTTTTAGGCATATGGATGCTGGGCTTGAGGCGCTAACTGCCGACTCTGCGGGTGAGCCCGCTGGGACTGCAGGCTCAGACTCCCCGTCTGAGCTCTACACCATGTTGTGTGCTGTTACAAAAGAAGAACAGGGGGTAAATGACGCCCTTTCCAGCTGTCGCTCTGCCTGCGAGAAGCTGCGTTCACAGATTGTCGAAGAAGAGGCAAAAACTGCGATGAAGCGTGACCGCCTGCCAAGTCTCTGTGATTCAATCGAGGTGGAGCAGACGAACAAGCTGACTTGGGAGGCTTGCATGCGTGGTGTCGCCACCGTCTTGGCGGATGCTAAACTCAGCATGGACAAGGCGGAGCAAAATCTGGAGGCGATATGCGCCGGTGATGGTATAGGGTTGTCTGAATGGACCCATATTTATGGGTCTGACCACACAAGTGGCTCTGAAGCTCTCTTTGCAACACCTTCAGAGGTCTTCTGTTTGCTGTCCTCGCTTCGAAAAAAGACATCAAATGTGTGCGCCATGATGAAGTTTCAACAGGAAAATGAGGAAAAATATTCAAACTCCAATAAATGCGGCGGGGTTGAATGTTTTACCGCTTCCCCGTGTGCGTCTTCGCGATTATCGGAGACCGATGCTGCGGTGGGGTGTACGGATGGATCAGATGCTGCGACCATTGTTGTGGTTGGCGGGGTTTGTTCATCACAGAGGCGTCGGCTGCATTTTGATGATGATTGCCTAGAAAAGGTGACACAGGTGCGTACTGAACCCGCGTGTGGAATCCAAAGAATACACCAGAAAACATATGCGAGAGTAGGTTCGACGGCGTTGCCTAACGTTGGTGAGGCAACAACTCCTAACGGGTTGTTGGTTTCAACGACACGCGTCCTGTGGTCCTCTGCTGGTCGCCATGGCAGGCCGAACGTTACCAAGTGGGTGTATTATAACCCTAAACACTCGTCTTGAGAATTCGAAATTCACTCTTTTTTTTTGTTCTCAACTATTTTTATTAATTCAGATGGGACTGAAGAAGAGGTTAAATGGTTTGGTATTTATTTAGTTTGAGTTTGTTCTATTTGCTCTCATTTCTAATTATTTTTTCACATTGCTTCAGTTTTTATTTTATTTTGATCAGCTTACCTTGTTTCATCCTTGTTTTACGATTTCACGTTTTTTGATGCTTCTGACGGATGATTTGAGGAGAATTTCCTGTAGATTTATGACCCAACCCAGTTGTCATCTAAGCTTTTTTCCTTTCTTCTTCCATATCTCCCTCCTCCAAGGTGGACAGGAAAGTTGCACTCATTATCGAGTTTTATTATTTGAACAAACTGCTCTTCCTTTATTCGCTCGATTTTGAATTTAAATACATAACTATTATAAGGGAACTAACACTTTTCCTGTCCTTCACAGGACTTTGTTCATGTTGGTTGGACTAGGTAATAATATTAGCACAAGTGGAATTGGAATGCCATCCTATGCGAGTGGTCGCCGCACAGTTAGTGCAGCTACACCCTCACAGATCCAAATGGCCTCACCTACCTTTCATTCGCCACATAGCTTCTATCCTTCTCAACAAGTAGATCTGTGCCGCACTAATGGCAACGATTCACTTTTGTCGGATCCTTTTCCTTCTACACCTTACACTTCAGTAAACAATTTGTTCATGTCTCAGGCGGTACGCAACACCCTTATTACACCCCACTTTATCCGTCAAGCGCGTGCCGTCACACATGTGACATCCTCGAAGTTCGCTCCCTACACAACAATTTACAATTTGGAAGCCGAGGATAAACCAAGTGTGCAGATCCCCAAGTTGTCCACACAGGTTTACCAAACCACTGCCCGTTACACAGGCAAGGATATTCTATTGCGCCGCATCGTCAAGACCTCCATCGTAGCGGAGGACTGTAAAGTGGTTTATGAAACGCTACGACACTACCGACATCCCAATCTTGTGCCCCTCACAAATATCTTCACGACAGATGAGTTTATTATGGGAAGCTCCGATGTCATAATGGAGTATCGTTTTATGCCCGGCGCTAAAAGCATATACGATGCACTTTTCTCCGAAAACAACCGCGCCACGGAAGGCTTGCTGTGGTCCTTTACGTGCCAGATGGTGGGATTACTGCGCTCTTTTCACGAGACGTTGATACCTTTACGTGGGTTGCACTGGTCAAAGATCATCTACATAGAAACGACCGGAAGGTTCTACTTCACGGGCCTCGGTCTTGTTGATCTACTGGAACCAAATCTGCCCTCGTCAATGTTACACTTGATGATGAAGCAAGATATTCAGGCCTTTGGTCTTATCCTTTTCCAGATCGCGACACGGAACGTCGATGCAAAACCAGAAAATTTCGTCAGCAAGCATCCTCTGGTTGGGTTTTCCTCCAGTTTCTGGGAGCTCATTAAGATATGCCTTGAAGGCAACGCCGACGCTGCACAGTTGTGCCATGCGCTGGGGGAGAGAATATCGATGGAGGTAGGCCATCAAGAGGGTCATGCAGACTTTCTCCTCTCTCAATGTGGGAAGGAAATGCATAACGGCCGTCTTATGCGTCTGATGATCAAATTAAACTTTGTATTAGAGTCTCTTCACGATATCCAATACAGTACTGATACCCAGAGGTACGCACTAAGGCTGTTTAGCCAGTTCGTATTCAACCAGGTCGATGATCAGAACCGTGTGCACGTCGACTGGGGCCATGCATACCACTGTTTGAACAAACTGGATTGCGGCTCCGAAGAGACAATACAGCTTATTGGAAATGATGCAAACACAACTGTACTTGTTATCAGTTATGCAGACCTCCGTGTGATCCTTGACGGATTATTTGAACAGTTGCAGCAGTTAGCATTACAGGCGGGAAATGGCGCTGACATAGAGAATCAAACATTCATACCGGCTTCTCCGGGGCCTGCATAAAATTGTACAAATTCATCTATATCCTCTTTTATAACGTTGTTTTCTGTATGTTGTGAGTAGTTGACTCAAATATAAATTTGTCGTTCAGAAAAAAGGGTCTAGAGTTTTTTTTAATATTGATTTTCCCTTGAAAGGGCGTATGATGATTTGAAGCTTGTCTTTTTTTGCTTGTGAAAGTCTTTTGGTCTGATAGATGCTATGGGAACGTAAGGAGATAATTCTGAGTAAAATGTGCAATATATGAATATAGGTGTGTAAGTTTGGTACATGACTTGAAGAGTCTGTGCATGAATTTACGCATATATGTGTGCCCTTCACGTTTTTCACTTATTACTCTTATTATAATTATTTTTATAATAAACGTTTGGTGTTTGCTCATCATTTTTCTGTCGAACGAGGGCAATTGTAATACGGAGTAGCGAATATATATGCGTATATATATATTCGTTCTGTGGTTTCGATTTGTTGTATGATAGCTTTTTTTTTTTATATTGCTTTTGCCATGTAAACGACTGCAACTTTTTTCATTGTTGCAGCATTTTGAAACGCAAGACGAATGGCGAAGAAACTGTTGAACACTTAAAAGGTAAAAAATGCATGACTGAATCAGACGAAGAAAAATTAAAGCCTAAACCTATATGAAATTGGCTTCTTTATAAGTGTTTCCATTAAAGAATATGACCTGCAAGAATTCTGTTTAGCAACGGAAATCCATTATATTAATATCAGATCAACGTAATGTTCTTTTGTTATAGACATATAAACTGTTTTTGTCCTCACGCATTTTTCTGTTCCTCAATTCTTTTTAATCGACTAAGCATCTGAAGGTGGTCTTGTAATTTTTTATTCTTTGCGTGCATGATTTAGATTATTTCTGTATACTTTAATTTAGTAGAGACGTTATTAAATTTACTTAGAGTTATCTTGCGCAAAATTTATTGTCATAGCTAATAATTTATCTGATTGCAGTGACTGAGTCTTATTAAAATCAAAGGAAAAATCTGATATTAGGAAAGTTGTGATGGCAGAAATGACAAAAGAAGTTATCGTGGCTTCGTGCAAGGCCAACGGTGGCTACGAATCCCCGAAACTCAACGATCAGCTCTTTCTCCATTGTAAGGGCTTTGTAGAAATCAAAAATTTAAAACCATACACGAACATAAAGGTGCTTTGGCTAGAGCAAAATGCGATCTCGAATTTGTCTGGCTTGGAACATCAAAGTGATTGTCTCATTTCACTTTTTTTACAGAATAATACTATTCACTCACTCAAAACATTGGCAGCTGCCCCGCTCCTTAACCTGCGTGTGTTGAACATTTCACACAACTACATCGCATCTCTGAATGGAATTGCTGCTGCGTGTCCATGTTTGGAAACCCTTCAAGTGTCACATAACCACCTTGCCTCACTTGAGGTTTGTAGTGATCTCTGGCACATTTCTCAAACTCTTACATCAGTTGATCTTTCCTATAATAAAATCACACAATTTGAGGCTGTGAGCGATGGATCCGTAGTGGATCCACTCAAGTCTACACTCCTAGACTGTAGAATTTCTGACAACGATATTCATGTTTCTTGGCAGGGCGACGAACCGACGGGATTTCCCAATGACCCTGCGCCGGGTCCAGTGGTGAGACGTGATAAGGACCCCCTCGCTCTGGTTCATTTTTTCACCAAGTTGCCCAACGTCAGTGTCATCTACATCCACGGCAATGGGATCACGCGTGGGCTGAAGAACTACCGTCGCAACATGGTGCTGCATCTCCCGGGCCTGACCTACCTGGATGAGCGGCCGGTCTTCCCCGAGGAGCGTCGTGTGGTGGAGGCATGGGGCCGCGGCGGCGATGAGGCCGAGACGGCAGAGAGGGCCGCCATCCGTGAAGAGAAGCGCGAGCACCTCAAGAGCTGCGTGCGCGTCCTAACCGATCGCCTGGAGAGTAGTCGGGAGGCGCGCGATCGGCTCACGCAGGTCTGGGAACGGAAGCGGGAAGAGGAATTGCGTGCTTTGGAGCAAAGACGTCAGGGCTATCGAGACGCCTGCAAGTCGATAGAGACAGCAGAGCGCTCCACTCGTGACGCTGTGGAGAGGGATGAACAGGACGCGCGGTGGGACTTTGAAGCGTTGTTTGAAAAGGCGCACAAATCAGTCATCGAATCCGAAAAGGAGAAATTGCGTGCCTACCAACAAGCGGAGGCAATCCGAAAGGTTACGGCTGACGCCGCGCGTGAGCTTGCTGAAGAAGAAGCGGCCGAGGCTCAGATTTGCCTCAAAGATAGTGGTCATAATCTTGACGATATCGTCACATCGTCGTCGTCTTCCTTCCCTTCTGATCCACTAACGATGTTTCTTCATTCCGACGACGATATCTTGAAGGAGATGGAGGATAATATTCAGCATGTCCTATACGATGTGGAGCTTTCAGTGCGTAGTTATGGTAATCCAACGCTCCCCAAAGAAGCTTCGAAACGGCTACCTCCGAAGACAACTATGCCTGAGGATCCAAATCAGAAGGATGATAGCTTTGACTACTGCAGCGCTACTGAGGCCATTATTACAGCATCTTACCAATATCATGATCGGGCTACCGAAAAGGCTGAGCGGGCTACACACGACGCCGTAAAACGATTCGGCACTACACTCTCCCAAGGGCGACGGGAAGATGTATGGAAGCAGTTTCAGCAATGGGAAAAGCATTCACAACGCACCTGATGGAAGATTAGGATTTTCCCACATTGAAACAGGAAAAAAAGGATAAGATGGACAAACTGCATTTAAGGAACCACACACTTTATCTGAGGATTAATAGTTAGCATTATCGCTTCCTTAGTGCCAAAGCCCTACAAATTTGTGTACTATATCTCTTCCGTTTTTTTACTTCCTTGATATTTCGGTATTTCAGGAACGCACATGCTTTTGCTGGATACCTGGATCATTTTCAGCGTTCCTTATTAGAATTTTCATACAAAGGTGTATTTATAATTTTCACCATAACAGGCACTTTGTGTCCCTTTGTACATGATGTTTATGAGTTTCATCATGGAGTCTTTCCCTTGTTCCTTCTTTTATGTCTATGTGCCTTATTAGAACGACTAATTCTATTTTTATTTCAAATGTAAAATATACTGGAAAATGCCAATAATGAAGACAATGGCAAACTTAGAGAGACTAAGAGGATTTCGTGGGATCAAACTAAGGCTCGCTCAACCTGGTGCATGAAGTAGTCAACCATTGGGCATATTTAGTTTCCTCCACTATTATTATTATTATATTATGATCATTATTTTATTTTTGGTGGGATCAATGAACCGTCGTCCTGTGTCACTGTATTCTTAGGAGGTGTATTAGATTGCCAGCTTTTTATTTGTTTCATTGGTTTCCTATATCGACCAAAATTACCGTACTGGTTACTGGTGGTTCAGGTTTAGTGTGTAATGGTGTCAAATAGGTTATTGAGTTGCTCCTAAGGGTGAATAAAGTGTGAGTATATTTCTCACGAAAGGACACTGACTTCACTAATTGCAAGCAGACATATGCAGTGTTTGAATATCGCCCGACTCATGTTATGCATTTAGCTGCAAACGATGGAGACCCTCTCGAAAATATACCCCAATAAGTAGCAATATGGGAGTTCTATATTTTCATCAATAAAAATGTGATTCACTGCACAAAGGAGTTTTACGTCAACAATTTCATTTTTTCTTTATCCACATATGTTTTCACAGTCAAGGTGATGAATCTAATTTATGAGTGGGTGCTGTAAGGTGACGCACCACATTATTCAACAGAAACTTATGATTATGCTAAACGAATGGCTGATATTCTATTCCAGTCCTATTAGCACCAGTACAGGTTCAATTGAGTTAGTATGATCCTCAAAACTATCCACGGCCCACACAATGACTTTAGTCTCGAGGATGTTTATGATATTCTTGCTCTTATTCATAAGCTATACCTGATACAGAAGGCAAAAAAAAAAGTGCTAGTATTCGGCACGGGAAATCTTCTGTAACAGTTAACTTATAACCACCACCTTTCTGAATTGATGGCGTAGACACTGTACAAGAACAACGAGGAGGATCCAAATATTCTTTCTGTTGATGAAAAGATGAGGTTTCCATCGCATATAGTGTCCATTTTATTGCTGAAGCCTATTGGTTTAGGGTGGTAATGTATTTAATATGACCAATACCAACAACCAGTTAAATAAAGCGTTGGTAAACTCAAAAATACGAAGATATTTTCCTAATTATAAGTTTGAACCCCTTTCAAAAAATATTTTTGAGACGGTTAAGTGGTTTATTGTGAACTATAAAAATGTACAAAAGTAAAAATGGAAGTTCACGTTTGACATGAGCCTCTCGTGTCTATTAATGTTGCCACCATTTTTAGCATTTCTTATAGTCGTCACTGAGGGAAGGGAGTAGATGATAACGGTAGTAGTGTGCTTCCATTCATTTTCTCTCTTCTCTGCAGTTGCTAATAAAAAGGCAACTAAATGAACTGTCTCATTAGCACGTAGCACTTGAAACTTGCTTATCAACAGGAAGGATGGATAAAATATATAAACTTGATACACTTTCCTGACCTATTCTTATATCTTACTATTTAAAACAGTTATAATATA